CGTTGAGAGTGCGTTGAGAGTGCGTTGAGATACAGGAGTCGCAGCGGAGCGGGAAATCTTCTCGGACCTCCCGAAAATGAAGCGGCTGACGGGTGAAAACGAGCAAGTGCGGGGTTTATCGCACGGACTTCGGGGCATTCCAGCTTTGCCGGAGCCCACCATCTCTGGGCAAACTTGCACGCGTCGCAGCAAAGCCGTGCGTCTGGGCGCTGCAGCATGAGCCGAAACATACGAGCTGCTTCGCCATGACAGCCAGCAACAATCGCCCGACGTTCGGCGCAGGTGCCGAGTCCGTCGCGGCTCAGCCGAACATTGCGAGGACGGCTCCTCCGTATAAACGCCAGCGAGTCGAGCTTCTGTCCGATCCGACTAGAGCCCAAAGCAGCCGAATGCAGACAGAAGCCGGTGCCTCGCCCAAACGAATGCACATCGCATCGCCCGCCGACGCACGCCCACCTGCACGGGTTGCAGTCGCCACGCCATCATCTCCCTCCACGCCCGGGCACCGCCGGCCGCCTCCGCTGGCCACCAAACCTCCGCAGCCGCCTTCTAGTGCTAGCGCCAGTAGGCCCGGCCCTTTGCCAGCTGTTCCTGCTCGCAAGCGCAGATTCACTCGCAGTCGCTCGGGTTGCGCCACCTGCCGCGTCCGGAAGATCAAGTGCGACGAAACGCGTCCGCACTGTCATCGCTGTCTCGAGGACGACAGGCAATGCGAGTACTTTCGTTCTGCCGGCTCGGCACGAACAGAGGCAGAGGTCAAATCTCAAGCTGAGCCTTCCGGCGCCGACTTACACCCAGCCGCGCCGGCGGGCAAGCCAGCGCGGCTCTCCCAACATCAGCAGCCTCATCATTCGCCTCGCCAGACATCGGTTCGCCACATAAGGCCCGGCCCAGCGCATCAGCTTAGCTCTATACCCACTGGTGACGCCAGCACATCTGGTGACATCACCTCACCAAAGCATCTGGATGACTGGCTCGATCTCCTGTGCGCTTCCATCGGAAACGACATTCAGCACACTAGCGGCTCGGCCACCGCCGATGCATCTCAGCCAGTCGCCAAGAGGGACGACCAGCTCAGCGACACTTCCCGTCAGTCGACTGCGCAAGGCTCGGCACCCAGCGTTAGTGACTCGCAGTCGGATCGCTCTGCTTCTCGAGATCGACTCAAAGCGCGTTACGGTCGTCCGACCGCTGCCGCTTCCGCCATCGCTGACCACACACTGGCTTTCGGAAGCGCGGAGGCGCGTTCCCCCAACTGGCTCGACGACGACTGGCTATCGACATGGACCGCCTCTCCCAGCGGCCCCACTGGCATCCAGCACACTTTCGATGGCGCTTCCGCCACACCAGTCTCGGCAAGCACCACCGCCGCGCGCCCGGGCCTGCAGCACATACCCGAAGCCGAGCTGCAAAGGCGCATCCGTGCGCTCTGCGTAACGCGCATACAGCTAGAATCCGTGTCGTTCTTCTTCAACACCACCGCTCGCTGCTTCCACCTGCTCTCCGCCGACACCAACGTATGGCGCATCTTCTTCGCCCAGCTTGCCGCCGAGTCTCCCATGGTGCTCGACCTGGCAGGCTGCCTCGGTCTCACCCACCTCAGCCTCGCACAAGATGATCGTAAAAAGGGCCTCGCCCACGCTCACTTCTCGCGCTGCAAGACCGAATGGGACGCTTTCGTCGGTCCGCTGCACACGCCCGAGCTCATCGCGCTCGCGGCGGAACAGATCAACTCGGCTCATCGCGCACTCGAGCTGCTCGCCGGCACCATTCTCATCGCACACGTCGAGCAGTTCAGTCGAGGCTTCGCCACTAGCTCTCGAGCTTACACAGCTCTTGCCATCACTGTCATCCGACAGGTACTCGCCGGCGCACCAAACGGAACACCGGCTTCGTGGTGGGTCAATGACCTCGACCAGGGTCCAGCATCGGCATTTCGCTTTTTTGTCCGCATCCTGCTCTGGTGGGAGACCATGTCTCGAACCATGGGACCTGCCAGCGAGCAAGGCGATGTGCTTGACATCTTTGAGCACGTTTATCGATGGGACGAGTCCGACAGCCGCCAACAGGACCCGATCGAGTGCTCTACTCAGTGCGTCGTAGGTTGGCCGCTGGATCTGCTCGAGGCCGTCGAACGCATCAATCGCCTCAGCGCCGTTCCCGAGATTGTGGCCTTCGTGCCACCGCCTGCCTCTTCCGTGCCGCTCGTCATGCCCTCCGGATCGCTCTCGCATGCACTCGAGGACCATGTGCCGCTCGAAACGCAACTGCAGATCGACGCCATCGAGTCTCAGATTCGACTGTCCAGGCCTATGCCGCTCACCCAAGATGACAGCCTCGCCGCCGAGCTGCGCTATCTCATTTTCGAATGTCTTCAGTCAGCCTCGCTCGTCTACTTTTGCAGAACGCTGCTCAAGTCGACCGATGCTGCGTGGTTCGAGATCGACAAGGTCACCCGGTTCCTCGAGCGCAAACAGCAGCGTCTTCGCACAAGCGGCGAAGTCAAATCAGCGGGTCCGTCCTGCCCGCAGGATCCGACCGGCGACCTGCAGGTGGCCCACGCTATGGAGACGCGAGGAAAGTGGTGGATCCGCGCACCGGACGGAGCCCTAATCTGGGCCTACTTTCAGTGTGCCTCGGAGATTTTCGGCGAGCTGGACGCGTCGCTGGAATCCTCGGCGCTTGTTGTATCGATTGGGGGGCATCGAGACCGACGGTATCAATTCGGCAGAGGCGAGCCAGTCAAGCTCGCGCTGGGATCGGACATCGTCATCGGTGCCGACGCCTACGACAGCTTCGCGCGATCGCGCTCAGAACGCAGGCAGCGCTGCCGTGGCTCGCTGCTGTTGTGGGAGAAGTTCGACGAGATCCAGTGCCTCTTTCTCTGCCGGCAGCTACTCAAAGCCGTGTGGGATGGTCGCGACCTGTACGAGCACGAGACGCGCCACAGGATGCGTCTCAGCAAAAGCGCGAGCTCGCATGCTTCGATCGACGCTCCTCAAGACATCGGCCGATACGATCAAGCGACCGAGCTTGCGCACATCTGCCGACAACGGCGTTGGCGCCAGCCTCTGATCTTTTGACGTCGAGCATTCAATATCCCACGCTCGTTGCAGGGTAACAGTGCCTGGCGACCATCTACGATGAACAAACACCTCTTCGGCTTCCCCTTGGCCACTCAAGCAGTGCAGAGATGCTGTAACCTCGCAAAGAACAGGGAAGCTGGTAAACTTACTGGTGTAAAGACAGATGGCGCACTCGAGCTAGCCAGAGCTCTGTTGCTGCAGGGAAGTGTGAATTGGAGAGCAAGCTCAAGGAAGAGAAGGAGGCTGTGGACAGGACTGCGTCTGGGTGACCATTGTGCTCTACACGGGATTTGGAGGACGAGGGCCGGGGAGGACGCGGGAGGCTCCGTCCGCTTTGCGGACCGCTGCATCAAAGTAGGGCCTATGCATGTGGTAGAGCCCCTTAGCGACCAAGGAACTGGGTCCGAGCTCATGCTGGCGCGACCAGAGCGCGACGAAGGCCTTGTCGAACGTTGGGAACGCCGGGTCTGGCGAATGATGGGTGGCGAGGAACGATTCGCCTTCCAAGGTGATTGCAGTCATGACGACACGGCGTCGAAACGATTCGCGCATCTTGAGCGAGAATAGGTCCTGATACTCTGCGCCGAGCTGCAGTGGCGGGCCCAAGTGGTACCGCGAAGTGGTGGGACTGTTCTTGGCAATCCATGCCGCGAATGCTTGGTTGAACCACGGATCGGGGCGATAGACGAATCGGGAGTTGGCGTCGGGTCGGAGTCCTGCGTTGGCAAGAGAGGTGCGCCATGGCTGAGAGTCTGTAGGCGCCACAAAGGTGCTGGGGTTGGCCTTCCATGCGTGAAAGATATCGGCGCCTGACACGGGGTCTTGCTTGGCGCGAAACATGAAGCTCTGCTTGGCTCCGACTTCGGCAGATTTCTTGAGGTGGCCCCAGAAGCGCTTGCCTGCGCTGTACATGCCGCGACACACCAGCACCGCTTGGCCCTCAAACGTCTTGAGCTCCCAAACGTACAGACCGGTGAGTGTCGGGGAGTTGAGACTCGCAGGAACTCGATGGACTTTCATGAGCCAAAACTTTCTGCCTCCAAAGACCAGCTCGATGCCCAGATGTTCCACACGCAGATACGAGAAGGCGTCCACAAAAGCATCGTGCGAGTCGTGACGCGCTAGCAGCTTGGGTCTCTCGGCGTTCCAGACTGACTTGAGCTCGAGGCTAGGATGCACCTCGTTCCGTATTTCTTCCTCGAGGTCTTCCTCTTGGGTCACAATCAGCACTGGCCTCTTGACCATCTCCATCGGATCGGCTTCTTGAAGGCTGGAGATAAAGGCATGCCTGTCTAGCTTGGAGGATGGAAAGGGCCAGAGGATCTGCGGCGCAGATTCGGATGTAGATGCTGATGCTGGCACGGATGGAGTAGCCTGCCTGATGGCTCGGGCAGGCGGAAGCACCTGCTGTTCATGCAAAGCCGGGTGATAACGAGCACCGAACACGACCGCCGACAGGTCGTCTGGATTGCGATCGTCGACCGCAGATTCAGAACCAGGCCACTGGATCGATGAAGCTACTTGATCGTGCCATGGCTCTGTCGACCATATGTTCCCTGCGGGAGCATGCATGTGGCTCGGAGCGTGGTACACTGGATGGGCAGCAGAACCATAGACCAGAGCCGGATCGATTCCGTGCTGGTACGAGCCAAGACCGTGGCCGATGTCTGAAGCCCCAGCGATCCCTGGTTGCCCTGGAATGCCATGATGCAGGAGATCGCTAAAACTGCCTTGCGAAGCAGCAGAAGCTTGACGAGCTTCTGCGATTCCTGCCTGTCTCGGCAGACCGTGATGCAGCAGATTGCTGAAGCTGCCTAAGTTTCCAAAGACGCCGAGCCATTCGTCGTTGCTTGCGGCGCTAGGAACAAGTGGCGCGACAACGGATCCGACGAGCCTCAAAATGAGGAGCCCGACCAGCTGCGATAAGAGGCTGAAACGAAGCAATTGCATGGCTGCGACCTCGAACGTTGGAAGAGTGAAGAACGTGAGAAAAGGACGGTGGCTTGGGACTCCCTTTAAGTAGGCGGCGTCTGGGAGTCAAGTACGTGCGAGCAATGAAGCGGTCCCACGATTTCCAAGCCACCACATGCTGTGTATGAGGCAAGCTGACGATCGATGCCGCCTCATGAGGTTACTATCACCATTTTCGAACCGACACTCGCTTGGACGATATCCGAATGAAGCGTGCCGTGGCCAATGAGATTGAAGCACGACTTGGTGCAGCTTTGCATCCACGACGGTGGGTCATTGTCAGAGGTGCATCGAAGGACCGTGTGCAGGCAGGATGCCGTCAGTCATGTTGGAAGCAAGCTGCGAACAAGCTGTCAGTATGGAGGTGTGGAGGTGTGGAGTGTCGGATAAACTGCGGTGCATCGTCTCGAATGTGAGCTTTGTTCTTGCTGTCGGTGGGTTCGAGGCGTAGAAGCTCTGCCTCACACGGCTTGCACTCAGCCACATCGCTTCATCCCGCATGCTGGCAGTGCAGGGCCAACGAACCGCCGCAAGGCACGGACGATGACTGTTGGTGGGTGGATTTGATGGACCGTGCGTGGGCGAGATTCCCCCGCATTCTGGGATTGGCGCGAGTGTGCGGTTTTAAGCAGCCGTCCAGTTTGGCAAGCGCCGCGGCAACTTTCACCCTCGCTTGTCTGCCCTTTGCCTGGCTTGGCTTCGGTGCAGGCCGCGGTCATCTGCCGCCTTGGACGCGGCGGAATACACGGTCGTCCCTCGTGCTACCGCAAAGGGTCACGAGGTAACTAGCTTGTGCGTTGCAAGGTGGCGCCTAGCATGCCTCTCCGCTGCCATGCCCATATAAACAGCCTGTCCTCAGGCAAATCCGCCACAAGACTTCCCAACGACCACACTGTCCATCATGTCGATGCAAGACACAGTTCAGAAGGTGCTTGATGCGGCTACGGCCGACATTACCCAGCCCAATGCCGTGCCTGGTGCGGTGATGTACATCGCGGACAAGACGGGCAAGCAGGTGGCTTGGGCTGCGGCGGGTGTCAAGCAGGCCGGCAAGCCGGACCCCATGACGCCCGACTCGGTCTTTTGGGTGGCAAGCTGCACCAAGCTCATCACCGCCATCGCCTGTCTCCAACTCGTCGAGCAGGGTAAACTCAACCTGCAGGACGACGTGACCAAGTACCTTCCCGAGATGGCGGAAGTGAAGATGATCGATGGATCCAAGCCCAAGCGCGTGCCTACGGTGTGGAACTGTCTGACGCACACGTGCGGGTTGGGCTACTCCTTCTTCAACCCCGCACTCAAAGCGCTCGAAGACAAGAAAGGCCGCAAGGTGATTGATGCCTTTGATGCGTCCAAGGAGAGCATCATGGGACCTTACGTTACCGAGCCTGGATCCGAATGGGAGTACGGAATGGGAATCGACTGGGCGGGTCAAGTTGTCGAAAGAGTCTCCGGTCTGTCGCTCAACGACTACTTTCAAAAGCACATCTTTGCGCCTCTTGGCATCAAGAACGCCAGCTTCCTTCCCAAGACAGCTGGTCTGGCCGACAAGCTCGTCGGCTCGCACTACCGCAACCCAGAGGGGATCATCTCGCCCAACGAACACTGGCTCAAGCAGGAAGAGTCCAAGATCGAGGTGCACTATGGCGGCGCTGGACTCTGGGCCAACGCTGCCGAGTACTGCCAGATTTTGGTGGCTCTCCTCAACCGTGGCACCCATCCAAAGACTGGCGGCAAGATCCTCAACCCTGAAAGCGTCGAGGAGCTCATCAAGCCGCAGCTGGACGAGAAACTCGCAGCCGACATGGACCGCGAGTTTCCCAACACCGACCCCACGCTTACCAACTATTTCGAGGGATGCACGGTCAAAGGCGTGCCCAAGAACTGGGCGCTTGGCGGAATGCGCCTGACAGTCGAACACCCCATGTTCAAGTATAGCGACAAGGTACGCCCTTCTCTCCACATGAGCCCAGACTTACATTTGCGCTGACAGAACCTCTTTGCTACAGTCTCTTTTCTGGTGCGGCATTCAAAACAGCTACTGTAAGTCCCCCAAGCCCCCCTTCACACTCTCACAGTACCACAAGACTGATGTTTGTTGTTCACAATTGGCACAGGGTGGGCCGACTTCAAGGACGGAACGTGCGGCATGATCCAGTCGCAGATCGGACCTTTCCTCGACATGGGCACCCTCGGCATCCTCGCCCAGATCCAGCCCCAGGTTCACGCTGCCTACGCCAAGTAATCGCCCACACTGCTTCACAATCGCTCGGAACGACGGAAGGAATCAAGCTGACGTGACCAGTGAACTTTTTTGGATGATCGTGTACGGGCGACGACGTTGTGTGATTCTGAGTTGCCGGCCAGTATGGAGTGAGACACTTGCATGATCGCGACCGACGCATTGAGTTGCCGCCGTCGACTACGTGCTCGAGAACATCATCTCGGTCTTTCAATCTGGAACACGATGCATCGGGCAGAGCAGGATCACGTCTGGCAGACGGCGCGAAGACTGCCCGAGGGGTCTTGCGAGGCGGTCCAAGGAGACGCGAGTCCAGAGCGATCAACGCTGCGGACGTCTATTGCTCGTCTGCGGCTGGAGCCACATCAACACGACCTTCACCAATCACTCGAAATGCGCTGACCCCATGCGTCGGTACTGTTCGCGCGTGAGAGGTACACGGGCTGAAACACTGACACCATACCAGAAACCTCACTCCGAAAACAGGTCGGTTGTACAACCACTTCAATCATGCTACCCTCCTTCTCACAATGTAAGCTCGTGTAACTTCATCGCGTCGGTAGTGCTTGAACGTCGAAAAGCTGTAACATCATTGTGTCGATAGCATCCAAGCGTCGGGAGCACACAAGTCACTTGCCATCCTGGATCACGAGATAAAACACATCTTGGAATTACACATGGGCCACAACAAAGGATCTACGAATCAGAACTTGGCGCGGGCAATGTTGCTCTTCTTGACGTCGTAGCGGTCGAGGTTCATGACCTTGTTCCAAGCCTGGACAAAGTCCTTTGCGAACTTGTCGGCGTTGTCGGCCTGGGCGTAGTTCTCGGCGAGCGCACGCAGCTCGGCCTGCGAGCCAAAGATGAGGTCGGCGCGCGTGGCGCTCCACTTCTTCTGGCCCGACTTGCGGTCGACGCCGTCAAAGAGCTCGGCCTTGCCGCCGTCGGCGACCTTCCACTCGGTGCTCATGTCGAGCAGGTTGACAAAGAAGTCGTTGGTCAGCTGGCCACGGCGGTGCGTAAAGACACCGTGCGACGAGCCGTCGTAGTTGAGGCCGAGCACACGCAGACCACCAATGAGCACGGTGAGCTCGGGAGGCGAGAGCGTGAGCAGGTTCGCCTTGTCAACCAGGTACTGCTCCGCACGCACGCGCTCGGTCGACTGTCCGTAGTTGCGGAAGCCATCGGCGGTGGGCTCGAGCCACTGGAACGTGTCCACCTCGGTCTCGTCCTGCGAGGCGTCGGTGCGACCGGGGGTGAAGGGAACGGGAAGACCCGAGGCCTTCTCGAGAGCAGCGTTACCGGCGAGGACGATGAGGTCGGCGATCGAGACCTGCTTGCCGCCCTGGTTGGCCGAGTTGAACTGCTGCTGGACACCCTCGAGGGCGCGGACGACCTCGTTGAGGACGGCGGGGTTGTTGACCTTCCAGTCCTTCATGGGCGCCAGACGGATGCGCGAGCCGTTGGCACCACCACGCTTGTCCGAGTCGCGGTAGCTCGAGGCGGACGACCAGGCGGTGAAGAGGAACTTGGATGGGTCGACACCGGTGCCGAGGATGGCCTGCTTGAGGCCCGAGAGGTCGCGGTCGTCGACGAGAGGGTGGTTGGCCGAAGGCACGGGGTCCTCCCAGATGAACGTCTCCTTGGGGACCTCGGGACCGAGCCAGCGGGCGCGCGGGCCCATGTCGCGGTGGAGCAGCTTGAACCAGGCGCGGGCAAAGGCGTCGGCAAACTGGTCTGGGTTCTCGAGGAAGCGACGCGAGATCTTGTCGTAAGCGGGGTCATAGCGCAGCGACAGATCGGTGGTGAGCATGGTGGGGCGGCGCTTCTTGGACGGGTCAAAGGGGTCGGGGATGATGGCGTCGGAGTTCTTGGCGACCCACTGGTTGGCGCCAGCGGGCGACTTCTCGAGCTCCCACTCAAACTTGTAGAGGTACTCGAGGTAGAGGTTCGACCACTGGGTGGGCTTGCTGGTCCAGATGACCTCGAGGCCGGAGGTGATGGCGTCGCCAGCCTTGCCGGAGCCGTGCTTGCTGATCCAGCCGAGACCCTGGTTCTCGATGGGAGCGCCGTTGGGCTCGGGGCCGACGAGGTCGGGGTTGCCGGCACCGTGGGTCTTGCCGAAGGTGTGGCCACCGGCGATGAGGGCGACGGTCTCCTCGTCGTTCATGGCCATGCGGCCGAAGGTGGTGCGGATGTCGTTGGCGGCGGCGACCGGGTCTGGCTCGCCGTTGGGGCCCTCGGGGTTGACGTAGATGAGGCCCATGTGCGATGCGGCGAGATGGCCTTCGAGGTTGCGGTTCTTGAGGTCCTTGGGATTGCCACCCTTGTTACCCTCCTCGTAACGCACATCGTTGCCGAGCCAGGTGGTCTCGCCACCCCAGTAGGTGGACTCGTCGGCCTCCCAGGTGTCAGGGCGACCGCCGGCGAAACCGAAGGTCTTGAAGCCCATCGACTCGAGGGCCACGTTACCGCTGAGGAGGAAGAGGTCGGCCCAGGAGATCTTGTTGCCGTACTTCTGCTTGATGGGCCAGAGGAGACGGCGGCCCTTGTCGAGGTTGCCGTTGTCTGGCCACGAGTTGAGGGGAGCGAAACGCTGCTGGCCCTCACCTCCGCCACCGCGGCCGTCCTGAACACGGTAGGTACCGGCGGCGTGCCATGCGAGACGGATGAAGAAACCACCGTAGTGGCCGAAATCGGCGGGCCAAAAGTCCTGGGAATCGGTCATAAGGTTGGTGAGGTCCTTCTTGAGCGCATCGTAGTCGATGCTCTGGAAGGCGGCGGCATAGTCAAAGTCGGCGTTGTAGGGGTTCGAACCGGACTGGTGCTGACGGAGGATGTTGAGGCGAAGGGCGTTGGGCCACCAGTCGCTGTTCTTGGTACCGCCACCGGCGGCGGGGACGCGCTTGGCGTCGATGTTGTGAGCGACGGGGCACTCTCCCATGGTTGCGATGCGATGTGTGTTGGTGTGAGTGTGTTGTGTCTGTATGTTCTGTGCGCGCGATCAGAATGAAGATGCTGCACGTGAGGATAATGGTCGGGAGTGAAGGGGCGAGAAGAAAGGGTGGCGTGTGTATATATGTGAGGGTGGCGAGGCGTGGAGGGGCCGACGAGTCTCGGTTGGCGCCAAATGCTCAGCCGGCTGTGGCGGAAGGGCGACGGCCGAGGCGGCTTGCGGGGAAAGTGGCGGAAGAGCAGAGGCTGCGAGCGAGGCGGCGAGCGAAACTGCGAGGCTGCGAGGCTGCGTCGATGCGCGCGAAGAGAGAGAGAGAAAGGGAAAGTGGTCGGTGCGCGCTCCAACCAGCAAGCGGCGAGGAAGCGGCGAGGAAGCGGCGTGACGTTGGAAGTTAGTGCTGCAGTGCACTCTTCTGTAAGCGCGCCAGAGCGGCGACCCGCGAGGTTGCGGGCGCATGGCCAGCGTGAAACGGGCGCGAGGGGGCAGTAATAGCTAGGCGCGCATTGGCTCGTCGCCTGGGGTTCAGCCGCGCGCTTTCGAGGCTGCTGATGCAAGTTGCAATCAGAATGCCGCGATGCGCAGTCAGTCAGCAGCTCAGTCGCCACCCAGCCCGAACCGAGCCGTCGCGCGGCTTCCATCGGGTGCCCATGGAAATTCGACGAAACTGCACCCGAGCAGGAGAGCAGGAGATACTCGGCCGACACACGTCACACGCCTTCCGCCCAACCTCTCTCGTAATGGAAGGGCGCCGCGCAGCTGCAAGAGCGAGCGAGCGCATGGCAAGATTCGCTCATCGAGTCCCCGATTCGCCGCTGTCTCGCCGCTACCGCACATGTCAAACTTCTGAGCTCAGCGTGTGTGTTGCAATGGCAAGGTGACCTAGTGTACAAGAGGCCCCTCGTAGGCATGGCGATACCGGATCCAGCACACGGCCGGGATGGCAAAGCTGCCCACCAGGAAGGCTGAAGTGTAGTTCATGTTGGCGCTCGTCACCGGCCACGTCGGCGGCAGCGATAGGAAGACGCAGAGCAGCACCGTAAATGCAATCGTGAGCAGATTGGCCGAAATGGTCAACCACTTGGGCATCCTGAACGGCGGATCCCAAGCACCGTCGCCCTCGGACGAGTCGGATCCCATGCTGCCAGCTTGCTTGTCGACCGTGCCTCCACTTGGCTCGGCTCGGCCGGCTCGGTACCTCGCGGCCAGGCACACCCCGGCCACGATCGCATACGACACGGCGAGTAGCAACGTGGGCACCGAGATGATCGCGTTGAACGCCGCCGTATTGCCAAGGTAGATAAGCCCGATGCAGCTCTGGCACACCAGAACCAGCAGACCGGCGCGCAGCGGCGAGTCGAACCTCGTGTTGACCGTGCCAAAGAACGTTGAGAAGGGGAAGCCACGCTGGCGCGAAAAGCCGTAGATGCATCGACTCGCCGCCATGGCCACGTCCGCCGACGTGATCAGGAACGACACGAGCGGGATGAGCAGCAGCACAATCGCGCCCGAGCGCGACGTCTTGAGCCGCAGCATCTCGGCAAACGGAAAGCCCGTCGAGGTGGTGATGATCGCATCCAGTTCCGGCAGCGTGAATACGAGCACAAACGCATACGCCAGCGTCACCACAATGCTCGTCCCCAGCCCGCCAAAGATCGCAATCGGAACCTGGCGCGCCGGGTTGGCCATCTCTTCCGAAAAGTGCGTCGGCACATCCATCGCCGTCGTCGACAGCGCCGCCTGCGAAAGTCCCAACACCCACGGGACAAAGTTGTTCCCCCATCCCGACACGTTGACAATGTCCACCAGTGCAAACTCGACCGTATTGTACTTGCCGCGCGATTGGATCAGCAGCGTCAAGACCACCACCACCAGTCCCAGCACCGACCACGTAAACGCAAACACGTTGAGCCTCGACACCAGCTTCGACGCGATCCCCGCCACCACAAAGCTGAACGCCGCCGTCGCAACAATCGACACCGACACGTGCCACGTCTCGATCACATAAGACGGAAACGTGAGGTTGATCATGGCGAGCAAGATGACCGTCGTGATCAGCTGCGCCGCTACGCTCAAGAAGATGTAGCCCAGCAGCACCAGCCACGAAGTCAAGTACGACAGATAGCGTCCGTGCAGCCGATACACCCATGCCGCCTGGCCCGAGGCGTTGGGAAATTGCGAGGCCGGCTCGGCGATCGTGATGGCAGCCGCCATGTTGCAGACGCCCACAATGATCATGCCCCACACCAAAACGTTGGCTCCTCCGCTCGCCAGCGCCGTGGCTGCACTCGCCGAGTAGGCGATCCATGTAGAGAGCGACGTGTACCCGAGCGCAATCGCTCCCAGCGTACTCAGCTTCTTGCCCAGCACTCCATCGCCGGTAGTGGGGTCGAGCCTTGCTTCCTCGCCGCCGTCACCGACAAAGCTCACCGGCGCCTGACGGTCCAGCTCCGACACGGTGATCTCGGCGCCCGAAGAGAAGTGTTTGGGTGACCCGGCCATCTTCTTTTTTTGAGACATGATGAAGAGGATCGTGCTTGGTACGACCAGGGATGATGGCGATCTTGTGGCGGAACTGTGCTTGGCACAATCTTCCGATGCAAATCAAGGGCGGCACGTCCAAGCAGCTCTCGGACTGCTTTCTTATACGATGTTGAGAGAGATTCCGGGCGAGCCCTCGCATCGAGGAGAGCGTCAACAGATGTCCGTACACTACTTGCTCAAGGATGATAAGCGGGAAGGAGGTGGGTGCAGGAGCGTTCGATCGACACTGAGCACATGGTGCCGACATGCGAGCTGGCCCTCAGGCTGGATGGACTGGTTGAGCCGCTTCACAGGGCGGGAAAGGTGGACGGACCTTGAATGTCAAGTTCCGCACGCCAGGGTCGCAATCAGGCCTACGGGTAACGGCCAGGCCACCTCGGCGATATGGGGCGGGCACAGGTTCCGCCAGCAGCAACGGCAACGATCATCTGACCCTGGATCATGGCGAGCGCTCGGGCTCGAGACAGCCGTGCACCTGCGTTCGCATGTGCTGTATGGCCAAGTGCCGAGGTGCCAAGCACAACACAGCTCCGTAGGCGGTGCACTGTGCAAGGACGCGTGTCGAAGCGAGGCGCAACAGCCTCTTATCGCGGCAGTGCACCACGATAAAGAATCCAGGCTGGCGCCAGGTATCGGCAAGGGTCTGCGGAAGCCTGCAAGATGCACCAAAATGCGGGGAAGCGTTTAAATTGGTACATGGCCTTGTGCCGCTTGACGGCGTGCAAGGCTAAACCAAAGCAAGTCGCACGGGCCGAGCAGTGTTCGACCTACAGACACGAGGTGCGAGCACGCCGATCAGACCCTGTGACATCTGCTTGCCGTACGAGCTCCGACCGTACATCAATCAACAGCAACGGCAAGCTCGATAAGGTGTAAGCGATTGGCTGCGATTCGTCGTGCGCATCTACTGCGCCAATGTGACACGGCATGCTTTGTGGCTCCGACGGGTATACCTCAAGATGCTCGCTCTTCCAGACGGTGGCAAACAACGAGCGACTAAGCGTGGAAGCGAGCAAGCGAGCCAATCGGAACGCGTCGCTTAATTTTGGCACAGCTGTCACCGCCTAGATTATTTTGTTATAGCGGCGCGGCCAAGTTTTGCCTGCAATGCTCCAGAGCGATAAGCGCGCCAGGCTGCTCTATCGTCCACGCCCACGCCCACGCCCACTTTGCGGCACTTTGGCCCCCAAGTGAGCTCGCGTACCGCTAAAGCCGTGCGCGTGACCATAGGCGCATGACAGTGGTGTGCAGAGTCACGACGCCTCGAAGCTATGCGATAGGGCGAGCTTTGTGCAGGCCGAGTGTATGTCGCACATTCGCACAAGGCACAGCTGAAGAAGCCAAATCTTCCGTGCGCACCAGATCCAGCACAGACACACTCTCCGACGAGCTACAGATCGTCGCTCCGGCCTTGCTGGCTGATGCCTCGGACTACTTAAAGCAATCTGGTCCCTTGCGCATCTATCTGCCATCCCTCCATATCATCGCAACGATTCACTTGGTTGCAAAGCTCATACTACGGCAAAGATGGCTCCCACTGCAGTAGACGTGGTCGACTCTGGCCCGGCATCGTCTGTCGGCATCAAGTCGGTAGGCGGCAAATCGGTATCGCAGACGCAGCTCCACCCGCTCGACGACATTACTCCCGCTGAGAACAAGCGGGCGGTCGAGCTCATCCGTGCCTACCACGCCCAGGACGGCTTTGAGCCGTGGTTCAAGTCGATTCAGCGACAGGAACCTCGCAAAGCGGTTCTGCTTCCTTGGCTCGATGCCTACCACTCCGGCAAGAATCCGGCGCCACTGCCGCGCAAGCTGGAGGCGATCTACATTGAGCCCAAGACGGCCAAGATCCACGAGACTGTAGTCGACGTAGCTTCGCGAAGCGTCGAGTCGCACACGATCGTGGCGGGCGCCCACCGCACCAACCTCGACATCACGCAGCTCGAGGAGTTCGAAAAGGCGGTGGTGAAGGATCCGCTGGTTCACCAGGCGCTCAAGGAGCTCGGTCTGGAGGCCGACACGCCCATCGCTTCCGATCCGTGGATCTTTGGCGCCGACTCGTTCGAGGACCAGCCGTACCTGATGCAGTTCCTCATGTACCTCAAGTCGCCGCGCACGGGTAACGATGGCGACTCGTTCCACTACTCGTGGCCGCTGCCGTTTGTGCCCGTTGTCGACGTGCTGACCGGCAAGATCACCCATGTCGACTGGTGCTACACGGGCGACTCGGCCGACGGCATGGTGCACACCTGGAAGCAAGGATGGGCGCAGTCCAACATGGAAGAGCGCGAGTACATGCCGCATCTCCAGCCCAACTTCCAGGCGCGACCGGGTCTCAAGCCGCTGATCGTGCAGCAGCCCGAGGGTGCGTCGTTCACGGTGAGCGGCAAGAACGTCGAGTGGCAAGGATGGAACTTCCGCATCAGCTGGACTGCGAGGGAAGGTTTGGCGCTGCACGACCTTCGATTCAAGGGCCGATCCGTCTTCCACCGACTGTCGATGTCCGAGATGACGGTACCGTACGGCGATCCGCGTCCGCCGCTGCACCGCAAGCAGGCGTTCGATGTGGGTGATGCCTCGTGCGGCTTTACTGCCAACAGCCTCGGTCTGGGGTGCGACTGCCTGGGTGCGATCCACTACTTTGACGGCCACCTTGCGCTGCCCAACGGCGAGCTGCTTCAGCAGCAAAAGGTGGTGTGCATGCACGAGGTCGACGACGGCTTGGGCATGAAGCACACCAACTACCGAACCAACAATCCGTACGTGGTGCGTCGCCGCACGCTCGTGCTGCAGACCATCATCACGGTGGCCAACTACGAGTACATCTTCTTGTGGCACTTTGACCAGACGGGAGCGATCTCGTTCGAGGTGCGTGCCACGGGTGTGCTGTCCGTGTCGCCCATCGATGCGGGCAAGACATCGCCGTACGGCAACGTCGTGTCGCGCGGTGTGCTGGGCACCAACCACCAGCACATCTTCTGCGTGCGTGTCGACCCGCGCATCGACGGCGACGGCAACACGGTGCACTACGAAGACAGCGTGCCCATGCCGTTCAGCACGGAGGCCGACAAGCGGGCGAACCCGCACGGCGTGGGCTACACGGTGCAGAAGACCGTACTGACGCACGAGGGCGGAGCGGATCTGGCACCCATCCAGAACCGCACGTTCAAGATCACCAACCCCAACAAGATCAACGCCATCTCGCAGAAGCCGATCGGATACAAGATGCACGTGCCTGCGACGCAGCTGCTGCTGGCACACCCAGACTCGGTGGCATATGCGCGCGCCGAGTTTGCACGACACCACGTGTGGGTGACCAAGTACCGCGACGACGAGCTGTGGGCGGGCGGCAAGTACACCAACCAGTCCAACGGCAAGCAGGGCGGACTTGCGACGTACAGCGCAGGCAAGCAGAGCACCGTCAACGAGGACGTGGTGGTGTGGGCCGTGTTCGGACTCACGCACAACCCTCGTGTCGAGGACTTCCCCGTGATGCCGGTCGAGTCGCTCATGATGTCGCTCAAGCCCAACGACTTTTGGGAGACGTGTCCGATCCTCGATATCGCCACTAGCTCGCAGGCGGTGAACCGTTCGACGCTGCTTAGCTCGCACGAGGGAGAGGCTGAATCGTCGTCGGCATGCTGCAAGATGTAAACTTCGCTGGTCACCTATATAAGATGAACGATGAAGAAAGCTGAAAAAAGTAGATGGAAGCCAAAATTGTGCATTGTTTGCGAAGGCAGCCGAAGCGGAAGCGGAGGGGATATTGCGACCCGCTTTTCGTTTGAATTTTGGCGGGTTATATTTCTCGATTGACTTTGCCCGCTCGAACACGACCATGCACGGCCAAGCACCAACTGACAAGTCTAGTCTTGTCATGTGGAGACCCGTGCAGGCACAAAGTGCAGGGCATTCAGGGCAGGGCGGATGGTGAGGTGCCAAGCCTATCGGTCATCCGAATCGGAACGAGATGCAGCCAGATGTTGGGGGACGGGCTTGCCCAGAAGCAAAAGCTGGGGCCGAGGTGGGGGTTCGAGGGGGTGGGGGTTTACAGCTCATTCGTGTGCCGTGTGATGCGGGCCTTCAAGGGTGTTGACTCAGGCTTTGAAGCGGCGCCAGGGTCCGGGCAAGCGCTTACTTCAAACCTCTGAATTGGGCCGACTTGGATTGGTCAAAGCAAATCGACTCACACGGCTTCGGAAAGCGAAGCGCGGCACGGCCCGCCCGCTCCGACTCTTGTGCGACTCTCTGGCAATGCATTTCGTCTTGTCCTACCGTCTTGTCCGACCAGCCACAGAGCGAGCGTAGACACAACTGCCGACTGCCGACAACGCCCCGACTGCCGACAACGCCGAAGTCCATCCATCTCGACTTTGACTTTGACTCTGACTTTGACTTTGACGTCGCATCCCTCCATCTCACGCATCCCACCTCGCAAACCAAACGCCGAGGCCCCTCGCATCTCGATTGTCACTGCCACCGCCACCCGACAAACATGGTGCTCGCCGTCGCTGCACCTCCATCCAAGCGCAGGCGGCTCGACTCTTTCCACTCCGACTCGGAGCGCGACGACGACGTCGACGACGATGATGAGCGCGATGATGAAGACAACGATTCGGAATCCTCGTCCCGCTCTCCGTCCCCGGCAGCAGGTGCACACGCCATCGCTCACATGATCTCTTCCCAGCGTCATCCCTCCACCAAAACCAAAACCACCGGCGCGATAGATCCCTCGCTCGACGACACGCCATCCGCCTCCTCCCCTGCAAAACATCGATGCGACATCTGCTCAAAGACCTTCGCACGCCACGAGCACATGCTCCGCCACCGTGCATCCCACACCGACTCCGCCTCATTCTCCTGCGAAGACTGTGGTAAAAGATTCCGCAGATCCGACGTCCTCCAGCGTCACCGCCGCCTCCACGTCACACGCAAGGAACTCAACCTTGACGAGTCAAACACGAAACTCACAAAGCGCCAACGCTCCGCACTCGCTCGTGTAGAGGCCGCCTGCCTCCGCTGCTCCTCCAAAAAGCTCAAGTGCGACGCTGCAAAACCTTCGTGTGCCCGCTGCCGTCGTTTGCCGGACACCGCCTGCGTCTATCCCGCCCACTCCGACACCGCTCCCTCCTCGCCCACGCACAACGTCGACGACGCCTGGGGTAATGACCCTCCTCTCGCCTCCTTTGCCGCACACACCAATTCCCCGCCCATCGCCAGCTCCACACCTTACCCTGCCCAGGCATCCGCCGCTAGTCCAGCCACTTTCGCTCAGCAACCTCCCTCCCTTCTCGACACCCACTTCTCCGCATCTTCCATATCCTCGTCCACGCCCGTCGACCTCCAGCCTCAATCTTTGCTCTCCGGCCCCCCTGCCAACTACATTCCGGCCACTCACAGCCTCACGCACATGCTCCACGCTCCTCCGCCTCCCGTCGATGCAAATGCTGCCAACGCACAACGCACGCTCCACGACCTCATCGGATGGCTCGACGGGCCTCTCGTCCAGGAACGCCCCGACCCCGAAAAGATCGACTGGATCTTTGGCGACAGCCCAGAAGCCCCTCAGCTCCTCGACTGGGCACAGATGTACGAGTGGGCCGATTTCGACCTCGCCGCTCGTCCCAACGCCCTCGCTCCCTCCTCCTCGGACGCCTTGTCCGCGCTACCCTCGTTCGAGCAAGCTCAAGCGCAGCCACAAAATACCCTGACTCCCCACCATCGCCATGTCTCCAACGCCACGCCCATTCAGCAAAACAGCCCGCTCTTTGTCCTCAGCTCCGCCGCAGAGATGCTCGACTTTGGTCAGCGCTCTTCGCAAGCCTTGAACGACTCTGGAGCCGCCAAGACGCCAATGCCCCCAATCGGCGTGGACGAGCCCAATCGCTCAGCCGATGCACTACCTCCAGACAACAGAGCCGTCACCACAGGCCGTTCGCGATGGAATAGCCCCGAGCCCGCAGAAGACGACCTCGTCACTAGCGACTCGGCTCGATCCGATCCCTCCGACTCGAAGCGCGGTTCGCATAGCGCAGACACCGCAGCCGCCTTGGCTGATCGCCTGCGTCCCGCCCGCCACGCCAAAACCTCCAGTGGCCGCAACGCCGCCGCGTCCCAGGCCTGGCCCAACCGCTGGAACCCGGCCATCAAGGAGAATTCGCTGCCCAGCTTCACCTTCACCCGCGCCTCCGAGGAGCACCTCATGGCCGAGGACATGGCCCACGTCAAGCGCATCGGTCATGGCGCCATGGTGCGCATGGTCGAGCACCTCAAGAACGCC